AAACGTCATCGTCCTAAATGATAGAAAAGAGGTACTCCACAGGTGGAATGAGCACTTTAGTAACTTGATGAATGATGAAACATGGGATGGGTCTTCAAACTATCCAACTATCTCTGTAAACACTGATAGTATCCCGCCACCATCTTTGGCAGAAGTTGGAGAAGGAATTAAAAAGCTCAAAAATAACAATGCCTCTCGCCCTGACTCATTTACTTCAGAACTTATTAAAAGTGCTGCAGGTCAAAACATTGAGGAAATACACCACCTCATCAAATCAGTTTGGAACCAAGAAGTTTTACCCGAAGATTGGAAACTGAGTATCATCTATCCTATACACAAAAAAGGAGACATTTTGGAATGTACCAAATACAGGGGAATCAGTCTCCTTTGTGTTTTCTACAAACTATTTTCCAATATACTTTTTAGTAGACTAGTAATTTATACAGAAAATATTGTAGGTGATTGCCAATGTGGTTTCCGCAAAGGAAGATCTACAGCAGAACAAATCTTTTAACACTAGGCAAATTTTTGAAAAAACTGATGAATATGGCATTGCAACGCAACACCTTTTTGTTGATTTTAAGACTGACTACGATTCTGTAAACAGAAAATATTTAATTGAAGCTATGAGAGAATTTGCAATACCTGAAAAACTTATAAATTTGGTCACCATTACTCTTACTGAGACAAAACTTAAGAGTTAAAATCCAAAATAATCTTTCTGAGCCTACTGTTGTTTCAAATGGGCTCAGACAGGGTGATGCACTGGCCTGCTTGCTTTTTAATCTTGCCCTCCAAAAAATCATACAAGACTCCAACATTAATACATGTGGACTATCTTTAACAAGTTTGTTCAAATTTTTGCGTTTGCTGATGATATTGACATAGTCGCATACACTCCCGAGTCACTTAGAGAGGCTTTTACATCTCTCGAGGCTGCAGCCAGCAGAATGCATCTAGCAGTCAACCAAAATAAAATTAAATACATGGCATGTGGCAATAACAGCAGCCCATATTTGGAAATTGGGAATTACAAATTTGAAACTGTTCGCAAATTTAAATATTTAGGACCAGAAGTTAATACTCTCAATGATTTAATGCCCGAGATCTGCAGTAGAGTCACACATGTTGTTGCAAATAACTTTTAATTTAAAAGTGGCGGGAAGAATAAGCATCTTGCCTAAGTCATTGGGGCTAATATTACCATCTGTGCTATTACATCTTGTAGGTAAATGTAATTTTCAACTCGTAGTTGTGTCTGGTTTAAAGAAATGTAACAAAGGTGTTCGTTCTCTACTTTGATATACATATCTACTAAGAATTGATGAAAGAGCTGTCTCGACTGTGGAAGGAGGTTAAAATCATTCTCTCGAAGCTTCATGTGATAGGCGTAAAAATCCATGCAGGAAACTTTTTTATTGGGAACTGAGTGTTTTGTAGTTGGATTAATCTGTGAAATATGAAAATGGTATTGCAATTGCCCTTTACTAAAAGTTAATGGGTACTGCATAGCATCATAAAATTTAGGAGTATCTGCTATGCGTGTCAGCGCATTATCATGTGCTCGTAAATATACTATATCTCGTGGAGAGCATGGGTCGCCAGTAACCAAGACAGCAACTTCATTAATTGTCAGTGCATTATAGAGCTTTTCATGTTTGCCACATGGAGTTCGATCAGCATGAATGATGACTTTATAATCGTCTTGAAGCAAGTTTTCTATTGCAATTTTGAAGATATTTATCAAAACATTATGGTCATGTAACAGTCTTTGAATTTTCAATACTATATCTCTCTCAACTCCATCAATATACTGACAATGATGGCTTACTTCATTTTCTTCTTGATCCATGAAATAAACTAGCAAACATTTATGCGGTTCATTACCTGTTGGAAAAAGTGAACCAATTCGATGATGTATCTGGCCTTGTACGGTAAAAGTTGATGAAAACTAGGGCATTCTTATCTCTTTGTCTACTCCAAAAGATGTCATTTGGAAGCAAGAGTTTTACTTTCTGATTTTACTTAAAAAATGCTTTGATTCATCTGTATCATGTAAATATAGAGTTTTCAGCAGCTCTTCTGGTTCACCAAGTAAAGAAAGCGAACCTTTACCATTGGAACAGCACATTCCTGCAGTTTCATCTTTCCATTCTAAAGCATCGCAAAACTGATATTTTTTAATCGAATCTATAACAATTAATGGATGATTATGGTAATCAATTGAAGTCAGAATCATTAAATACAGACCAATTGTTACACATGAAATTTCGCTGGTGTTTGGTTTGCATTTCTGCATGAATGATTCTATTCACCAGCAATTGTTTTGGAGTATCTCTCGCTCTAATAACTGCCTGTTGTTAAGCCTGTTCTTCCAAGCAAATCTCTGTTTGAAGAGGCGCTTCAATAGCTCTCAAAGCCGTTTGATATTCAGCTTGTTCTTTCAAGCGGATATGCGTTTGGATAGGTGTTTCAGCAGCTCTGAAAGCAGCTTGGCTTTCAGCTTTTTCTTCTAAACAAATTTGTGTTTGAAGAGGCGTTTCAGCAGCTCTCAAAGCAACTTGTCATTCAGCTTGTTCTTCCAAGCACATCTGCATTTGAAGGGGCATTTCAGCGGCTCTCAAAGTAGCTTGGCGTTCAAGTTGTTCTGTCAAGCGGAGTTGTGTTTGGAGAGGTGTCTCAGCTGCTCTCACAGAAGCTGGACGAGAAGTTTGGGCCTCTAATCTTTCTTGTCTTTGAGAAGTTGTTTCATCAGTTCTCAAAACAGATTTTTGCCTTGCTTGTTCTTGTCTTCTTAATTGTGCATGCACGGAAGATTCTTGGTACAGTCAAAAGTCGTTAATTCGGACCTCAAAACTAAAAACTTTCTGCGCATGCGCCGCTTTGACACTTGCGCATAGGCATTTACTCGTGCGCGTAAGACCTTTTACGACTGCGCATATGAGTGTGCGCAAGTGCAAAATACGTTTTCGCGTGCGCGTTTTATGTATAAGCTAAAATTATCTAATTATCTATTTCAGTTAATGTTGATGATTGCGTTGTTCCTTAATTTTCGAATTGGGATCCGGCTTATTATATTTGCAGACTGTAGAGCAATTTTATAAAAGTAAGCTTAAACTTTCGATTATATCAAATAGAATTTCCGATATATATTTGTTAATATGTAAAGGATCTAAAGCGAAAGTATGTTTTGAAATCCGAAATCTGTTTATCAATTTCACGCTGCTCAGTGGGGGGAACGCCGTGGCGGGCGCGTAATGATCTGGAAGTTGATTTGTCAGCACTATCCTTATCTTCAGCGCAGATGTTTTTATTTTATTTGGCTTATAATTCCTTACCAAATGTAGTATTTCATCTCGATATGCTTCGTCTTTGATATGATTTAAAACAAGTTCCTCGGCATTATAATTCGCTTCCGATAGCGAAGAAAAGTGACAGACGTTATTGAAAACAAAAAAAATTTCGATTGACAAATTAGTCGGTATTCTTGACACAGCAATTATAGGACTTGAACGGCGGAACTTTGTAACTGAACAAGAAATTATGTCTGTTTAATAGAATTAAAGAGAAAGTATTATCACATGAAACGAAGCAAAACTTAAACAACTTACATTGAAAGAAATGTTTAATAAAGTAAACAAATAAATATTAAGCTTTTTCTTTTTGCAAATTTTGATACCCTTTAGATCATAATTGTTCTTTATGTCATAAATTACGGTTTCATATTTTTAATTTTATAATTTCTGCATGCCATCTTACGAGATTTAAACTTATGATCTATAATCCGGAAAAATCGATAATCCGGAATCGCCGAAGTCCCGACGAGTCCGGATTAACGACTTTTGACTGTATTATCTTTGTTATTACAAAATTTTGTTTCTCCAGATTGGCAGCAAAGGAAAAAAAAAAAGCAACAGAAGTTTGATATAACGTCTAATAACGTTTTCTTTTATCACTGTGAATTAAAATGTTTAATCCATTCTGGAATTAACATTTAGGTAAAATCCTAGTATACGGTGCAGCCTTGGCGCTATTTTGAAAATTATCGCCAACACCAAAAATACGTCTATGTATATACTATACACTATATACTAAGTATATACTATGTATAACTATAATATATTCTTTGAATGACCCGTTTACTACTCATCGTATATGTCCCGTTTTTATTGCTCATCATAAAGTTGCCAAATCCCGTGTGCACCGGATACTAGGATTAAGCCAACATTTAAGTTATTAAATTATCTCATGTATTGATTGAGCATAGCGTCCATAGCAATCTCTCGCTAAGAGAAACTGAAAACTACATTATTTAGCAATCTAAACATACGTTAACTACATCTTGAAAATACTTCTATTCGGAGCATTTTACATGTTGAATATGCAAAAGGTGGTTATGATGATCAATAAATGTGGTGTTTATGAAGAGCACTAAATGAGTCATTTTGGTGTTGGCGACAATTTTCAAATCACACCAAGGGCGTACCGTATACTAGGATTTTACCAAAATAATATTATCTTTGTTATTACAAAATTTTGTTTCTCCAGATTGGCAGCAAAGGAAAAAAAAAAAAAAAACAGAAGTTTGATATAACGTCTAATAACGTTTTCTTTTATCACTGTGAATTAAAATGTTTAATCCATTCTGGAATTAACATTTAAGTTATTAAATTATCTCATGTATTGATTGAGCATAGCGTCCATAGCAATCTCTTGCTAAGAGAAACTGAAAACTACATTATTTAGCAATTTAAACATGCGTTAACTACATCTCGAAAATACTTCTATTCGGAGCATTTTACATGTCGAATATACAAAAGGTGGTTATGATGATCAATAAATGTGGTGTTTATGAAGAGCACTAAATGAGTCATTTTGGTGTTGGCGACAATTTTCAAATCGCACCAAGGGCGTACCGTACACTAGGATTTTACCGAAAAAGGTTTACAAAACATGAAAAATTCAGAAGAAAATATTTAGAGCATTTGTAAGCAACATACTTATAAAATTGTTGGTATAAACGCACAACAGGCTTCATCATTCAGTAGGAGGAACTGCGTGACGTCATTAAATGGGTGGGACTAAACTTATGACGTGACAGTGTAGTCTCGCATTTACACTAGGTGTACTTTCTATTTTCTCTTAAAAATAACAATAATAAATTGTTTTTTATTGTAAATTAATATCAAATTCTTTACTTTTAATTTACATTTATAACATTTAAGCTTAGGCGTTACTGATAATAAGTATAATAAATTGTTTATATTTAAAATTACCATGATACAGTGAGCGAATTCTACCAATTATTAAAACGATAAACAACGTCGCAGTCTCTAATAGTTGTAGAGCTTCAATGTTTTCAAAGATTTCTATTAAATTATTATTATTATTTTATTAATTTTTTATTTATACAAATAAACTATTTTTTTAAATTTAAATTCATATTGTGGAACATTTCAATTTTATCATTTTTACAAATTACCTTCTTGCTACGTAACGACATAATTCCTTACATACCAATAATTAGACAATTTTAATTATTTCAAAAATTTTAAACTTTACATTAATAAAAAAAAGAATATTTTTTATTGCATATGAACATCATTACACAGCTTTCATATCAGTTTCTAAAATTCCTAAATCACGCCATATTCTGTGTAGGCATGCTAGAATTCTACGCATTAATAAATAAAAAATCTAATTTCTCAGAATGAAAGAAAATAATATAATAAAATAAATACTACAAACTTGGAACACTAAGCAATGCTTCACATACGCACACACACACATATTATCAATGAACTCATATTATCAAGTGCAATTACGATACCAAACACTACGTATTAAAATATGAGGTAAACGTTACTTCAAGGGTTAAAGTTTACAGTTTTGCTACTGTTGAGTCGATCGTCGGACTATCCATATATATCGTAAAGTCGGAAAGCGTTTATAAACATATCAAAAAACAAAAAATTAAAAATACAATTTAAATGAAAAATTATGTCTTAAATATAATTCACAATTAAAACAACAATACAAATTTAAAATACACAAACGATATGTTAAACATTGCACATAAATAAAGTTACATTACTCCTCGACATCACGCACAACCTCGTTTTCCCTTTTACAACAACGATCAGTATTCGCTCGAAAAACATCAAAGAATTCCACAAACTCGGTGTCCATGTGCTCATTTATCTATTTTCACTTAAAGAAAAATCAGAGAATTGCTCAAACTCGGCATTGCGCACCACATTGGCTTTGCCCATGTGCACATCGATCTATTTTCACTTAAAAAAACATCCCAGAATTGCACAAACTCGGCATTGCGCGCACCACATTGGCTTTGCCCATGTGCACATCGATCTATTTTCACTTAAAAAAAATCCCAGAATTGCACAAACTCGGCATTGCGCACCACATTGGCTTTGCCCATGTGCACATCGATCTATTTTCACTTAAAAAAAACATCCCAGAATTGCACAAACTCGGCATTGCGCACCACATTGGCTTTGCCCATGTGCACATCGATCTATTTTCACTTAAAAAAACATCCCAGAATTGCACAAACTCGGCATCGCGCACAACCTCGGCATTGCGCACCACATTGGCTTTGCCCATGTGAACATCGATCTATTTTACTTAAAAAAATCAGACATTAAATAAATTCTCCATTGCTCATATACTCAGAAATTTGCTTTCACTTAAAGAAATCAGAGAATTGCAGAAACTCGCGCGGAACCAACTCCATTGATTCGAGTTGCAAAAAATGTGTCCAGAAAAATGATACAAAACAAAAATAAAGCTGCCAGAATAAAGCAACTACCAAACATCCAAACTGCCATATTAAGAAAAGCACCCAATATTTTACTTAAGTCAATAATAATAAATGAAACTTACCTTCAGTCCTCTCCTTTTGCAGAATATATGGCTGTGATCTCACTGAGAAATATACGCATCAGTTGGCTGGCGTCGGATTTCTTGTGTTTCCTTCTCCAAATATATTCCGCAAGATAGGAATCAAACTGTCCTTTTGCCTTACTAGAGCCACGGAAACTTCTTTTGATTGCCGCCCAAGTTCCTTCAATACTATTGGTATGCGCACCTGTTTCTGGATCTTTAAAACTCAAGCTATGATTGACTTTCAGGTGCGCATACCCTTCGAACTCGAGACAGTCGTACGCTTTCCAACAATCGGATATAATAATCGATCCTGGTAGAACATTCTCTTTAATGATTTCTAGCAATGTTTCGGCACCTCTGTTTTCAACAACTCTAAAGACGCATTTATCTGTTCCTCTCTCAACCAAACCAAAAACCCATTTTCCTTCGACTCTTTTCCCTCTATGATACTTTTGCTTGCCAAACTTGCTTTCGTCGATTTCGACAATGACACCTTCCCCACCCAACTTAACATTCTCCTTCAAACATAACTCCATGCATACTTCTCTACAAAAACTTTTCCAATCTGTCACCGTATTTTTAGCAATACGTAATTCCGTTCGTATAAAATCATTCCCGCACTTACCCAACCACATATAGGTAACTCGCAAAACATCACACATGCTCAATTTACTCTTCGCAAACCAGGAGTTCTTTCGAACTGACCTTGAAATTCGATGCCTACATTCGCCTCCAGTAACTCTGCACATCCACTCAAAACCGTCTATACGGTTTTTCGCTCTACTAGTTTCATATTTGTTCCACAAATCGGGCACTTATACGATATTGCAATCAAACCTTTCTCCATACACCACTCAATAACGCATTTTTTTTTATCTCTTCGCTCCAACTGATAAAAGAAATCCAGATTCAGATACTCATCCATTCTGCAGTAAGCACCGAATTAGACTCACTCATGAATAATCAAACATTCTTTAAGCAAAAGAATTCTTTTCTGTATTTTCAGAAGTTACGGTTATAATTTTTAATTCATGCATTCAATATTTTCAATCGTTTGCTAATGATCGTTTTCAATCGTTTGGTATCTTAATAATACATTTGTGAGAGATAATTCGTTGCGTTAAATGCTAACAATACCACACAACACACAAAAGTAGATTTATAATTTAAAAAATCTCGCACAGAACATTATAAACCTACCATTTCAACTCAGTTAAAATATAATTTAAGTTTTCTTTAAATACGAAGCTATAGCATACTTATAACTTGTTTTGAAGAAGAGGCGTAACCAATATTACGTCATAAAAAGGCGTGTCCAAGCATAAGAGAAGTAAACACAGCATCGACTGATGCAGCCTATTCTGCGATTTAGCCAAATTTTGTTATATAATAATTTTGTAAATATCAACTTACAGGAGGGTAAGCGACGTAACCAAAGGCTAAAGGTATTCCCTAATGAAGGAATAAGTTCAGCCTCTACAGTGCACCTGGCTCTAACTAACTAAACTCAGACGATTCATTCAATAACATTTCACGCGACATTTCACACTTATTAGTAATTAACTCAGATGACTCACTTCAGAAATCAATAAATACCTATAAATCAAACAGTCAACAGAAACCGAAACTTTTAGTGATTAGCGGACAGTTCGATGACATGCGCAGAAACATTGTGTTTAACGAGAAGCTAGACTGCGCGCTGTACCCTCATGTAGCTAGCCAATTAATTAGACTTCTCGATGACATCAGCTTGTGGGCGTGGTCTTCTGTTACGTGATGCGATCAAAGAAAGTTGAACATATTCTTTGACGCGATGGTCCATTTTAACTGTTGACTATCTATCTGACAGTTGTATGTTTTGGTAGTGATTGAATGCGTACGGCATGTCTTCTTCGGAAGAGTGTGTGCTTTGCATGTATTGCGAAAAAAGTTTAAAAATAGGGTGCAACTATGGAGTATACTTTAATACTCCGTGGGTGCAACTTAGAAAACATTTACGCAACATGCACAAATTTTGAAGTGAGCTGAATCACATTAAATGCGGAGAAGAAGGTTGTTTGGAAGCTTCTCTACAATAATGAATTATAGAGAACATTTAGACAATCTGCTTAAGTATGAAATTATAAGTAAAAGTTTAGATCTGTCATTCCCATGAAGACAAAGGTTGTCATTCCTCACCTTACATTTATTTGAGTACGCAGTACTTTAATTTTTTCTCTCATTTAAGGAAAATAAAATTACTGAAAAAGTGCTATTTTTCTTCTTTGCTATGCTTGAATTAATCGTTGTTAAACTTTTTCGGATCTTAACGATGTGAGAAATGTTATAAATCTTGCTCTTTATCTTTTATTATCAGTAATACCAAAAGACTTACCGACATTCCACTTGCAAATTACAAAATTATTGAAACATTAACGTACCAGTTAGTCTTTTTGCATCTCTTGCATATTTATGCTCCTTGAAAACTACGTTTATGGTATAAATTCATCACTCAATACATAAATTTTAATAACACTGTATATTTTTCAGTTTCATTGTCTTAGTTTTTAAAAATTGGGTACTCCTCTATAATTGGGATCAGATTCAGAAATGCACATACATACATTTCTGAATCTGATCCCAATTATAGACGAGTACCCAATTTTTAAAAACTAAGACAACGAAACTGAAAAATATACTGATAAATATACATACTGTATATACAATATATACAGTTATTAAAATTTATGTATTGAGTGATGAAGTTATACCACACACATACATACATATGCACATGAACACAACACATACATGCATGCATACATACATACATTTCTGAATCTGGTCCCAATAACCGAAGAGCACCAAAAACTGGTATCGATACATTAAATTTCCCTGCTAGACATGATGCAGGAGATTTAATTGTATTAATTCTTTTTTTTTTTTTGCTTTCATTCACTAAAATGTACATACCATTTTACATTGCTTCACAATTTTCTTATCTCATATCTGTTGCTTTCTTTTAGATTCTTTACTTATTTTGAATACCTAAAGCTGATCATACTTAGATTTTTGTCATCTGCATTAAATTTTTTTTCATTATATTTACCTTTCAGTTTACATAACATGTTTTGTGGATTTTAAAGAATCAAACTGAATAGATATGTTCATAAACCATTTATTGGAAATTGGAAAAATGTTCCTTTTATAATAC